CCCCATCATTAAGGCTGCATTTCCTCAATCCCACCCCAAATTTGGGGAGAAGCCCCCACCCCGGGGCCCACCCGGGTCGGTAACGGGAAGGGGTCTCCCAATCCTGACCCCGAGGGGCCTCACTGGGCTGGGGGAGGCACGAGAGGGACCCCATGAAGCTCAATCAGGGGACACGGAGGTGACCCCAGGTCCTGGGGTTGAGTTGGGGGCCACCAGGCTGGGGGAGACCCAAGAGGGACCCCATGAAGCTCAACCAGGGGCCACCGGGCTGGGGGACACCCAAGAGGGACCCCAAAAAGCTCAGCCAGGGGACATGGAGGTGACCGCCCAAGAGGGACCCCATGAAGCTCAACCAGGGGCCACCGGGCTGGGGGACACCCAAGAGGGACCCCAAAAAGCTCAGCCAGGGGACATGGAGGTGACCCCAGGTCCCAGGGTTGAGTTGGGGGCCACTGGGCTGGGGGAGGCCTGAGAAGGACCCCCCGAAGCTCAACTAGGGGGACACTGGGCTGGGGGACACCTGAGAGGGACCGCACAAGGCTCAACCAGGGAACACAGAGGTGACCCCCAGGTCCCAGTGTTGCGTTGGGGGCCACCGGGCTGGGGAAGACCCAAGAGAGACCCCCCCCAAAGCTCAGACAGGGGACACGGAGGTGACCCCAGTGTTGTGTTGGGGGCCACCAGGTTGGGAAAGGCCCGAGAGGGCCCCCATGAAGCTCAACCAGGGGACACTGAGGTGGCCCCAGGTCCCATGGTTGCATTGGGGGCTACCGGGCTGGGGGAGGCCCAAGAGGGACCCCAGAAGCTCAGCCAGAGGACACAGAGGTACCCCCAAGTCCCAGGGTTGAGTTGGGGGCCACCAGGTTGGGGGATGCCCAAGAGGGACCCCAGAAGCTCAACCAGGGGCCACCAAGGCTGGGGGAGGCCCAAGAGGGACCCCCCAAAGCTCAGCCAGGGGACATGGAGGTGACCCCAGGTCCCAGGGTTGAGTTGGGGGCCACCAGGCTGGGGGAGTCCCAAAAGGGGCCCCAAAAAGCTCAGCCAGGGTACACAGGGATGACCCCAGGTCCTGGGGTTGCATTGGGGGCCACCAGGCTGGGAAGGAACTGGGGGGGTCCTGGTGGACCCCAAGGTTGCCCCTGACCCCCCCCCGTGCCCTTGCTGGCCACGAAGAGGTGATGGGCACCCAGGGGTGCAGTCATTCAAACTG